TAAATCTATGGATCAATCTGGAAATTGAATTACTTGGTCAATATGTGAATTCTCTTCTTCAATTTCTGGCTCCGTTATGGAGTCAAAATGTCAATCATCTTTTGTGAATACATCATCCCATTTTATCATCTTTGGGACAAAGGTGTTGTTATGGTTATGATTTGCTTCCATAAGCATGGTAACTCCTTTTTAAATTATCATTTTAGCCTTAGGGGATAAGGTAGTTTTCATTAATCTATCATATACCCTATATATTATGGATATTTCTCTAGTATTAGCTTTACTATTCATATTTTTAGTTTTAAGATTTAACGTTAATGTATCAATTACATTTTGATCATTAATATCTATTAACAATTAAAGTATATCGAACCATTGACAAAACTTTGTAGAACTGCTAATAATGAATCATCAGAATTTAATAATCTATTGTCTCTTAAAAGAAGACATATGGGTACATCTAAACCCAATATATATAATGATTTGACGCTACCATGACATGTCCTATGTGAAGAAATTTATAATTCCTCTTATATTGGTTTCTAATAATCTAATAGTTTCATTATTTTTATTAATAGCAATAGTAGACTCAAAAGTATTAACATTATAATTTCTAATAAAATCAATGTTTCCTATTATATAAACCTTTTTAAGTGTTCTTTAGCAATATTCTAATTTGTAGATCATTTTTAATTTTTGCAATTTTATTAGAGGTGACGGAGATGTTAATACTATTCAAAATATTTTGATGTGTAGGTAAGGGTTCATTTTAATTCAAGGGAGAATCTACCAGGGAGAAAAGACATTATCCTTGTTCTTAAATGTCTACTTTAAAGATTACTACCGGAATAATAAATTATTTGTGTAGTAATTGTTGTTACCTTTTTTCACTAATTTTCTTTGATCTTATTCCTCAAGGCTTGGCGACGGGAATGTCCTCATGGTCTGGCTCTACGACACATATAATCTAAGCTAATCCAACGGAAAGTACAGGCTTGCAAACTTCTAAACTGGGAATTATCCGGTTACCCCACTTCAAGGAATAAAACTAAGAGCATAAGTGGAACAGGAACAACAACTACCAAACATTGAACTTACCACCCCGACCACAACCTAATTTTTGACACTGTCCGCCCAAGGACAGTTTAGGGACATAGCCACTCCTACTCATACCCTTCTTCTCCAAGTTGCAGAGGAAGGGTATGAGAAGGATCATCTAAGTCCATACGATTTCCTTGGGCGGACGACGACGATACATAGGTTGCGGTCGGGACGGTAAGTTCGGAGTTTGACATTTGTTGTTCTTCTTCCACTTATCCTCTTGGTTTTATTCCTTTAATTGGAGTAACCAGATACATCCCTATTCAAATTTTGGCAAGCACATACTTTCCGTTGGATAAGCTTAGACTGTGTGTCGTAGAGCTGGACTCGGAGGGTGTTCCAGGTCACCAAACCTAAAGGGATAAAGTCAAAGAAGGTTCATGAAAATAGTAAAAGCAATTACTACACAAAGAATTTATTATTCTGGTAGGACTCTTTAAAGTAGGATTTTTAAGCCTAAGGATAGTGTTCTTCTCCCCGCTAGATTCTCCATTAACTTATAATAAGACCACTACTAGACACCGTAATTTTACTTAAAATTATGATATTAAAACTTTTGAGTCTACTATTACTATAAATAAAAACTTTGAGACTATAAAATTGTTAGAAACAAACAAAATAAATAGTTATAAGAAAAAATATAAATTTCTTCATATAGGACTTGTACAAGTAATAGTAAACCCATTATATATGTTGGATTCATATGTACCCATTGTTGGGTATGTAGAAAGAATTAATGAGAAATGGAGGGAAGATGAAAAGAGGGACTTGAAAAGTTGGGAACTTTAAAAGTCTTCTTATACTTAAGTGGAAAGGCATTTGTCCTTCATTGGTGGTGGAATGATAAATAGGAGAGTTTAAATATAGAAACACTCTATTAATTCTTAAAAGGGTTGAAAAGAGGGACCCCTCGCACCGCGTCATCGTCGCTTGCTCGGCTACGGCTTCGACTTCGATTTTGGCTTTGGTAAATGATTGATCGAGAGATTATTTTTTGGATAAATTTTTTTTGTTTATTTATTTATTTATTTAATTAAATTAAAATAAATGGACAAAACATTTTCAACTAGTTATTTGATAACAAAATATTTTAAATTATTTAGTTGAGACTAATCGAAAAGATTTAATTTTTTAGTTGAATAACCCGATCCGATTCCGATCCACACGACCCATTTTATTTGAATCTTTCCCCATTTTATTTGAATTTCCTGCCGTTTGGAAATGTCTATTGTGAAAGGTTACAACTTTCAGGAACAACCAGGACCGCTTGATAGGTTTCAAACTTTCATTAGAGTCCCACATAAGAAGTTAGACAAGACCTCATATGAGTTATGGAAAGGTTTTCTCCTAACTTGAAATTTCTGAAAGTGTGGGGGTGTTTGGCTAAGGTTAATCTACCTGATTTTAAACGAGTAAATGTTGGATCTAAGACCTTTGATAGTGTCTTTATTGGTTATACTCAAAATAGTGTCGCATATAAGTTTATGTCTCTAAGTGACCATTCTATTTGTGAATCTAGAGATGCAGAGTTTTTTTAGCATATTTTTCCTTTGAAACATAATGTGTTGTGTAATGCTTCTGCATCTATGTCAAATAATTCTCATGTTGTGCCTTCTTCTAATATTATTTCTAATGAGCATGAAAATGAACTCAGAAGGAGTAAAAGACGTAGAATTGAGACAAATTTTGATCCTGATTTTATCACTACTTTCTTAACTGAAAATTATGATATTAATATTTTAAATGATGAATTAGTGTCTATTCATTTAATCGATTAAGATTCTAAGACTTATGATGAAGCAATGAGATCAATATATGTTGTATTTTGGAAAGAGGCTATTAAAATTGAGTTAGACTGTATAGTTTATAATCACACTTGGGACTTGCGTGATTTGCCTAAAAATTGTAAATCATAAGTAGCAAGTGGATATTTAAGAAGAAATTTGAGACTTGATGGTACAATTGATAAATATAAGGCTAGACTTGTGATTAGGGGTTTTAACTAAAATAAAGACATTGATTACTTTGATACTTATTCTCTTGTGACTAAAATAGCTACCATTAGAACTCTTATTGCTTTAGCCAGTATTCATGATTTAGTGGTATATCAAATGGATGTTAAAACTGCATTTCTAAATGGTGATTTAGAGGAAGAGATCGATATGACTCAACCTGAGCTTTTGTGGTTCCGGGACAAGAGGATAAAGTATGCAAACTGAGAAAATCCTTGTATGGACTAAAACAAGCACCTGAGCAATGGTACGAAAAATTTAATATCACATTAGTCGATAATGACTTTGTTGTAAATTCATCTGATACATGTGTTTATTCTAAGATGATAGGTTCAGATTGTGTCATTATATGTTTATATGTAGATGACATGTTAATCTTTGGTCCTAATGTGAATGTTATTAATGAGACCAAGAACTTTTTGTTTTCTAAATTTGAAATGAAAGACCCTGGTGAAGCGGATGTGATTTTGGGAGTTAAAATCAAAAGGACTCCTAATGGTTTCTCTTTGTGTCAGTCTCATTACATTGAAAAAATATTAAAAAGTTTGATTGTTTTGATGTAGTGCTAGTGAGAACTCCTTATGATCCTAGCATACACTTGAAGAAGAATAAAGAAGCTATTGTTTCTCAAATTGAATATGCTAAAATAATTGGGAGTGTAATGTTTATCATTAGCTTTACTCGACCTTATATAGGTTATGATGTTAGTAGATTGAGCAGATATACTCATAATCTCAGTAGTGAACAGTGGAATGCTTTTCATCGGTTGCTAAGTTATTTGAGAGATATTATGAATTGGTGTTTGCATTTTAACAAATTTCTTGTTGTTTTAGAAGGTTTTTGTGATGCAAACTGGGTAACTGACAATGATGAAGTTAGATCCACCAGTGGTTATGTATTTACTTTGGGTGCAGTTGCTATTTCGTGGAAGTCTTCCAAACAAACTTGTATAGCACGTTCTACCTTGGAATCAGAATTCACTGCTCTCGAGTTGGCAGGGCATGAAGCTGAGTGGATGAGAAATCTTTTGGCAGATATGCCTTTGTGGGTGGGGAAGACAAGCTTCACCAGTTTCTCTTCATTGTGACTCACATACATCAATTGGAATTGCCAAAAACAGTGTGTACAACGGAAAAAAGAGATACATTCACATCAGACATGGTGCAGTTAAACAGTTGTTGAAATTGGGTGTTATTTCCTTGGAATATGTAAAGTCTGAAAGAAATTTGGCGGATCCTATGACCAAGTGCTTGGCAATGAAAATAATCCTTGAAATGCCGAGGGGGATGGGGCTAAATCCCATTGATTGAGATAATGTGGTGGACCTGTTGGGCCTCAATATACACCACATTTTCCATCTCATGGCATGGTGCAGTATTTTTTAAGGTTGAGCTTATTTTGCTCTTAATGATTCGATAGCCGTAAGGTGGTCTATTGTTTATAGACTTGATGGAGTCTCCTTTTATGAAAGACTTGGGTCATCTTTCTAGAGCACTCATAAGACCCAGGGTGTGTGCATGATCATAAAAGCACTTTGTTTGAATCGAGGAGGTTGCTTAAAATTTAAGTATATGGTATGTGTTATGAGGGTCTCAATTCATATCCTCTCAGTTCAAGAGTACTTCACTTTGTGGATAATAAGTTGTTGCCTCATATCACTACATGTCAATTCAAATCGAAAGATATTGACACTTAAGTACATGTTCCTTCCTTTTGTCCAAAATTTGTTCTAACTCTTTATTTTTGCATTAGTTGGGGATTATAATATTAATTTTATAATATTAATTAAGTGTAATGCAAAGTATACGAAATGTACGTTACAAAAGAATGACTTATCTGTTCCAAATTACATTTTTATTAAAGTGTGATGTAATGCCTTTAATGTCATTAAGATTTAACATATGTTTCTTAAGAATTCACTTCTTCTCTTTGAAACTCCTATTTGCAACTCCTATATAAAGATGTAGTTTCAGTGAGCATAAAAACACACTACCAACATAAATAAAAAGAAGAGAAAAAAAAATTCCTCCCTCTTCTTATCCTTAGAATATTTTTTGGGCAATTGGTTTTGACCAACCTCCAAACTCTTAACCACGAGTGCACGTGCTTGAGAGTAATTGTGGAAACCTTGGGGAGCGATCGGCTGCAGCAATTTGCACCGGAGTCGAGCCGAAATCTCTTTCAAGGCAGTGGCTTGCCACGACACAGTGTTTGATAAAAGTTATTTACTATTTTATAATTCTATTCCAATATAAATAATGTAGTATTTTTCCTAACATCCTTTTAATGTGCTACATTACAAAAAGGAAAGAATCAACTGGAGATTCTAAATGCTTCTCACATCATAATCGCAGGCTGGAGATCCTTTTCTCTCAGTCATATCTGATTCTTTGATGGCAGGCAAGGCCCTAGGACGGTCCCCTTATTCATCACTGCCAATATATACAACATGGTGAACACGAACATGATTAAAGACCAAATAGAAGGGGATGATATTATAACAAAGTAAAAATGAGATAACAAGAGATTTGGTCCATGGTGCAGGATCATTATCACAGAGCACGGATAGGTATCGACAATCTTTGTATCCATGCACACAAGTCAATGTAATGTAAATAAGTGACAAAAATAAGTTAAATAAACAGATGCATGAAGCTTTTGATCAAGATTTGAACTTGTTTTCCAGGTTTCCACCAACACTTTTCAATCCTGTAGACCCCGTAGTATCGTACTCCTTTGTCAGGTGCATACACACGAACTCTCCTTGTGGGACCTATACATATTGGAATGGACAGAGATAAAACTTGTGAATAACAAATAAACTCCCAATGGAAATGCAAAAGATATTTGATGTGGATATTGAAATACAAAACAAGCTGCATTAACCCAACTTGTGGTTGCTGATAGAATTAGTTTGCTTTCACAGGACAAGATATGCTCAATAGCAGAAACTATCATCCCAAAGCAAAAAAAAGAAAGTGGATTGCAATCTAGAACACTTATAACACTACTCTCTACTACCAAAAAATTGGAACAAACAACCATTCTGGAAGGAATGACAGGACTAATAACATGTGCATCAGCTAATCATGCAAACTTCGCTAAGCAAACTACATATAATTTGTGGACCAGCCCATGAGAGCATAAGGCAACATATATCATCAGCCAACTTCCAATCCAAAGAAGGAATAGAAAGAACTTGTTTTAGCTCTATACCTAATTATTCAGAGAGTTAAAGGAAGCGACTGACCTCACAACTCGTACAGGATAACCCTTGAGACAGTTGACACGTAAAGCTTCATTAAGCTTTTCAAATTTCTGGTCAAACGATTGTAGCTTGTTTGTTCGCTTGTTACCACTCAAGTCTCTTCCACCACTATCCAACACAAATCAACATAGAAATAGTTAGAAGAGCACCTCACAGCAGAAACCAACAGCAGCTATTAAAACAACATAACCAGATGTAGTCCCACAAGTAGGGTTTGAGAGGGTGGCGTGTACGCAGCCTTACCCCTATTTTCTCAAGGTAGAGAGGATATTTCTAAAAAATTATCAGTTTAAAAAAGTAAAGAAATGCAAAATCAAGCATTAATCTGAACTCACGTTTAAGCAAACAAAATACTAAAACTAATCGTGCAGAATTGTTAAAAACTAAAAGGAAAAAGCAGCTTAATGAAGAAGATAGTTCATGGACCAAATTCAGTGTCAGGTCACATGACTAATTAATCAAACAGTAACTAACATGATATTACAATGTGTGGATATCTTACAAGTAAAAGTGAGGTTCACAAACACAAAAGAAATGAAGAACAAAAATTCAACATAGAAATATGCATCACAAGTGGGATTCATACTTACATAAATTTTGAGTGAACAAGTTGTAACAAGGTGATTTTTAAAAAAAAAGCCAGAATGCACATGCATCCATGAAAAAAAACAGGCGCCCATTACCTTCCAGTATAGAGAAACCATTCACCGTGATCTTCATCATCTTCGTACCCACCAGAAAGTGCAACAGATTGAGCCCCATAATCTGACTGTCCTGCAATACCAGCCACATGAGAGAAGCTGAGATTTCCAAGATATCCTTTGAGCCAAGATTTAGCAAAAAATCACAAATCAGAGGAAAAGTTATTTTTAAAACATACAAGATAAGTATATTTTTGGGAATGGTATCAAGCACTGATGTAGGGATGCAAGTTTCATATTAACTCAAGTTGCCATGAAGACCATGTAGTCATCATGGTAGAAAAGGGTCATACTTTTTAAATGAATGTTTTTCACAGTTTACTAGTCGATCCATTAGGAAGTTCAGGTCTTATACCTTTGGCCGAGTACCGGACATGCTAGCAGCGTGAGGTAGATTGTTGTATAATCACTATGCTAGCAGTGATGGTTGTCGGTTAGATAAAATCTCTTAGTAGTAATTGCATGGTTCTTAAGGAGTTCTACTTAGTATAAATGGGGGTATGGGACTTCATTCATGCATTGCACATGTATACTTTGAGAGGAAGCATGATATGTCTTTTATTAAGATTATGAGTTTACATCAGTTTATTATGTACTTTTACATACATCTCAAAGTTATTTTGGATATTTTTATACACATAATTGAAAACCATACTTTAAACAGCTTATCTTTACATTGCACATGTTTTTAAGCTGCTATATAATGAAATGAGTAGTTATATTGAGTTATGTTATTCATGAATCGAGCAAAGCCAAGGTAAGTGTTCCTTCTTACTCCTTTTCAAGCTTAAGTTGTTATTTAGCATTCCAACTCGCATACTCGTACATTAAATGTACCGACACCAATTGGCCTGCATCATATCATGATGTAGACGCAGGTAACTAGGATCGACATTCCAGCACACCGTTGATCCAATGATCAGTTCAGAGTCTGTTGGTGAGCCTCATTGCTTTCAGGAGAATACATTTTCATTGCTTTCTAGTTTAGTTCATTAGGATGTTGTGGGGTCTGTCCCAACATCCATCTCAGTTATTAGAGGTTTCCTAGATATTCGTTCACATGTTAGTTATTTCGTCATAATTTTGTTATTAACTTATTTTCATATTTGAGTTTCATTTTGGCTAAGGTAAACGTTTATTTTAAAAACATTTTTTATTTCAGTTCCAAACAGTTGATTTAGTTAGCATCTTAATCTTTGTATTAATGTTTTAAGTCTTCTGATGAGTAAGTAAGCCAGGTCAGGGGTTCGCTTGGGGTCAGCAATGGTCTTTGAGTGCCAGCCACGTCAAGGATGCAGGTTAGGGGCGTGACAACCTCACCACACGAATCGTCACGATCTGTGGTGACCACCATGAACCTTCTTGGCTCTCGTGGGAGGTGAGAAACCCTTGGTCACCATGCCTAAGTCCATGGGCACCACCACGAGTCGTGGTTTCCTTCACGAGCCGTGTAGACCTTCGTCAAGGGTTCCAAGGTTATTTTCTCTAATTCTTGACTTCCCACTTAGACCTAGCTTAGCCTACTAGATCTCGAGGTGTTACACCTTATTTAATTCAATATCTCTTTGATCAAATTTGTTGTTATATTTACGAGACTTGTATATATTAAATGAACTTATATACATTAATAATAAAATCATAAATACAACTATATAAGATAGCTTAACTAATTCAATGATTTGTTTTTCATGTGTTCGGAAAAATGTTAGAAGAAGTGTCATTCATCATTTCTAGAAAAAAAAATTATTTAATGTGATACTTAACGAATAAAAAAAGTGTGAGTCATTATGCTCTACTTGACATATGTATGTGTATTATTCTATTATACAATCATTTTTTTATTTTTAATATTATAAAAAAGGGTAAATCCTAGCCCAGCCCACCTATGAAAATGTAAAAAACCTACAACATAAAGAGGGGGGAGGGTCAAAATGTTCTCAAATGGGAAGTGAAAAAATTCAAGAAGAGGTTGCCTCCTTCGGTGACCGTCTTCATCCTTGGTTACTTCGCCGCAGGTAAAATAATTTTATTTTATTTTATTTTCATTCATTTCTATTCCTGTAGCTTTGCTATGTCATCTATTTCAACCAATCTGAAACGAAATAAATCAAAATATTTGGATCATTTGCTCAACGAGTGCTTTCCACTTAGATTTGACAGGAATTACTCCAACCTTTTGAAAATGGAAGTCAAAAGAAAGAAGAAGTTGCCTCCTTCAGTTACCGTCTTCGTCACCGATGACTTCGCCACAGATAAAATGATTGTCATTGTTTTGATTCAAAAAAGAAAGAATATATATTTTTTTTGTAAGTTTTATAATTTTTAGACTCTGCCACTTAATTTTTTTTTTTAGAAAAATAAAGAAAACCATTTGTTTTCAAAACATTTAAACAGAAAAATCATTTTGAAAACTTTAAAAGAATTCAGGGATCGCTATGAACATCTTAGAAAGGTTTTAAAAGCACCTAGGACGTCCGCTAATTTGCGATTATCCGACAACTAATTTTATTTGGCTAAACGATTTAATTTAAACTTGGAGATAAAATTTATTTGAAGTTGTTTGAAAAAATGAAGTATTTAATTTTACTATCTAAGAATTGATTTACGAGATAATTCATCCTTTTAGAATCTGTTTGAAATTAAATTTTAAGTCGATAAATCATTTGCGGCGTTTGCGGGAATTTGCGGGAATTTGGATTGTTTTTAACAATAACACTAACGACGAATAAAGAAGATAAATAAACAAAAATAAGAGAGGGAGGGAGAGAAAGAAAGAGAGTAGGGTCCTAATCCGAGTTATCTGTACGCCTGGAACGATATTTGGACCCATTTATTGAATTTTTGACCCACTTCACCTGTACTTGTCCTAAGTTCTAACAAAATAAAAATAAGTAAACTTACAAGGCCTTAGGCCTAAAATTAAAAAAATACAACATAAAATAAATACAAAATATCGACTTTTGGCCACAAAACTTCAACTCTTCAATGGCTCCGTATTCCTCAATTTCAGGGACCTGTCCATCAATTTTAAAGCTGGAAGAGTCAATGGAGACGTTGAGCCTTTACGGCTCTCGAGTATGTGGGAATAAAATGAAATCACGGGCAGATTCTCACATACAGTCAACAAAAAGAAAATGGTAAGCGAGACTTAGGATCAGAAGAAAATAATACGACAGTAACACGGCCTAATAAGCCATTATTGTCATCAAGTTGAATTCCTGTTAACTTATGAAATTCAAATAATGCCAAAACTAAAAATTTCAATCTCGCAAAAAGTAAACGGAAGTTAAAACAATGTTATTGTTTCAACAAAGAGTAGTAATATCATGTCAAGGAATAGACCTCACAGAAGAGTCGAGCACAAATCGAGTTAAGAGAAAACATCTTTTTACAAATAATATTAAATTTGGAGGCTCATGTTTTATACACTTGAACAAGAGGTCAACAAAAAAAGAATAATTTAAAACTCATATATGATTCCAGTGTATAATGCCCATTAAAGCTACATGGATAAACATCAGGATGCATTAGGAAATTTTCGGAGAACAATTAGGAACAAATCAGATACTTTAACACAAACATATTTCAAGACCGATTTTAAGGCTCCGACACCTGGATGAAGAAGAACGGAAACTAAAGAAAGTATAAAGAAAAACGCCACTGACCTTTAAGAATTAAACTCAAAACTCGAAGCAGCACATGACCTTCAAAAAAACAATATAGAGAAATTGCCTATGGCCAAATTATGAAGAACTTGAAAAGACTGGCTAAGAGCATATTCCTAACATGATCCAGAAATAAAGATCAAGCTCTCATGAGGCCACAGAAGATCTAGACAACACATATGCTTTCCATCACAAAATAGCAAAACAGGTCAAAAACAACTATATGTTAAAGGCTGAAATTTCCAGTTCTTTCGACCTATTAAACAATACAAAACAAACTCAAGCTATATTTAGGCATATAGTGAGTTAACAAAACTCCAATCTTATTTTTAAAAGTAAAACAACGGGACGAGCAGAAGAGATTAACATATTTGTAGTCCTGTTGTAGAGGACACAAACTTAAATTCAAACTTGTATCAAAAAAAATAATCAAACGAGCTGCCACATGATTCACGCAACTCCTTCCAAATACAGGACGAAAGGGATTCCATTCTTTAAACTAAAAGCTCGGAGCAGTAACAAGACGAATTACATAATAAACAAACATAAAAAAAAAGGAAGATCTTAGCCAAAGGAACTCATGGAGAACCAAAAACAACAGAATACAGACATATCATTTTAACAAGATTGGCTTAAACACATCAAATAAAAATCCACTTTGAATCGACAGAGTATGAAACAATATTCGACATATTAAAGTCAGAACATGTGAAAGAGTTGCGAGTTGTTTACCTTGTTCTAGGCGGCTACTGGGAAAACGACGATCAGTGAGCTTATTTTCACTATGGAATTCAGAACGTGAATCAATAGAAGATAACTCTAAGCAAGATCTTTGACACCAAACAGAATATTTAGAAGTATTTATGCCTGTATATCTTGTTTTATATTTGTTTACACGACTTTGAAACTTGTAAAAAAGAATTTCTCCTCACTAAACCACTTTGTGAAAAATATTTCTCTTTTGTTTTGGTATCTCCCTCTTCTCTGCCTTCAACTCCAAAAATCACCCCTTTGATAGAATAGAAAGAGACCTTATATAGCGATGGATTAGGATTACAATTTTCTTGAAAGTTGGGGCGGATACGTGTCCAAAATCCAGACCCATTTTGGATTTCTCCCTTTCAAAATTCCAAAAAAAAAAAAGTTTCACCAATTTGGAAGAACAAACTTTTTCTGAACCTTCAACCTTATTCAGAAAAAGGGGAAAAGGGGAAATCCACGGCTAGGAACAACTCTAATTGTCCTTGCAACATTACGTGGCTTGATCTTATGCCCAAAGGACAGAAATAGTGCTGGCAAAACTGAAAAGCAATCATGCTCTGCCATGCGAGCGTACTATCGAGAGGGTGACGAGGGGCGCTTGGCGACACGCGTCGACGTCTTGAGCCCCGGCGCTATTTCACGCGTGAAGTCGCTAGATTGCTACTTGTCTTTTTCATGCGCTGAGAAGGGGAAACGAGTCAAGGGCTGATGTCAATTAGCTTGAATCACTGTCAATTAGAAAGATGCCTAGGTCGTCTCTTGCTGAATTAAAGAGAACAATTTTCACATATAACAAATAAAAAATTTATATTTGTATGCTATAGCAAATTTTGTATAATTACGTTCTATAGTAAACATAAAAATTATATAATTTTTTTTTTTTAAAAAAAAAACTGTATAATTCGCTATACATATACAAGTGTATAATTCGCTGGCCTAAATTGTATAATTCGCTGGCCTATTTCGCTGCAATTGTATAATTAGCTTTGCATACAGTTGAATCGAATTAAAACGTATGTATATTGCATAATTATAAGTGTATAGCAAGAAGATATATGTTTTTCTCGCTTTATACAAAAACAGAAACACAATATATACACTTCTGTTGTATAAAGCTAGAAAAAATTTATTTCACTGCAATTGTATAATTCTTTTGCTTTTTTATCTGCAATATTTGAAGTAAAATGTTTGTAAATTATATAATTAAGTGTATAACACGAAGCTATACATTTTTACATGTGTATATACAATTTTCTCTCGTTTTATACAAAACAAAAACAGAAATTATACACTTCTGTGTATAAAGCGAGAGAGGCGAGAATGGGAGAGTGGCGAGCGAGACTTCTTGAAGAGAGACACATGGCAAATTTTTGTCAACGTTTGTTATGGAGCACAATTAAATCAAACCCTAGCTATTCCATTTAATTTAGGTTATTAGTTTGCTATTATATACAATTTTCCCATTAAAGAATGGATCGGGACGTTTTATTTAATAAAAGAAAATGGGCTGGGCAAAATAAAATTCTAAAGGTAAAATTGTATATAATAGCAAACTAATAACCTAAATTAAATAGAATAGCTAGGGTTTGATTTAATTGTGCTCCGTAGCAAACGTTGGCAAAAATTTGCCAGACGTCTCTCTCCCAGAAGTCTCGCTTGCCACTCTCCCATTCTCGCCTCTCTCGTTTTATACACAGAAGTGTATAATTTCTGTTTCTGTTTTGTACAAAGCGAGAGAAAATTGTATATACACATGCAAAAATGTATATCTTCGTGTTATACACTTAATTATATAATTTACAAACATTTTACTTCAAATATTGCAGAGAAAAAAGACAAAGAATTATACAATTTAGGCCAGCGAATTATACAATTTAGGCCTGCGAATTATACACTTGTATATGTATAGCGAATTATACAGTTTTTATATTTGGTATGGAGTGCAATTATGCAAAGTTTGCTATAGCATACAAATATGAATTTTTTGTTTGCTATATGTGAAAGTTGCCTAATTCTTAAAGGTGTGCTGGAAATCGGAATTGGGCTGCGTTGAAGGATCGGCCCACGGGGTATTGCTGAAAATCATTAATGGGAAAGAACTTGGGCCTTGGGTTAGTAAAAATCTGAAGAAAGGGCCCCAATTTTGGTTTTTTTGTTAGGAATACTACCTATTTAGCCAAAATAAAATAGTAATTGGACAATTTGATTAAGTCTTAAAATAAGACGAATTAATATAATTAATTAACAAGCTTCTTGAGGTTAACAAAAATAATTAATTTGGCTATGAAATAATTAACTAAAAATGAAAACTATCATATAGATAAATAGCTAAACAAATATTTATATAAAACCAAAATATATATTATTATTATTAATTTTATTATTTTTCAGTTTTGAATATTGATAAAAAAGATATGACAATTATATGAATAAATATGTAAAACGTGTACATTAGCTAAAAAATTGTAAAAGGTATCAAACCTTATTTAAAATAACTTACAAGCTAATTTTTTTTAATATTAGAAAATTGGTTATTTTGAATTGTTTAAACCCGAGAAGCTCGTAAGTTAATTATTATTGAGGGAGGTCAAAATTAGGTGTCAACAACTGTCCCTCATTTTACTTGGATTGATGCAAGCAATTTGAGAAAATGAAATTGACCATACCAATTTTGGCCGACCACATATTCATCTTTAGTAAGGGGTCTGGTACGGACTCAAGAAATTATGGAGCGAACCACGAAAGTGGATTTCCTACATATCTCAGGTTATATGAGAATTAAGGCTACTTGTAGTTCGATGTGCTTGGTTTAACGCATGATTTTGAAAGAATTCAAAAGTCATCTCAATACCGGATTATGAGGGGATCGAAATGCTTGGGAGTAAGATTTAAGATCGAATGTCGGAATACAGTCGAGTTTTCAACGTTGAGTCCGCCTGCATATCCTTGAACCTTAGGAATCAGGTAGTTCGACTCGATCGGTTAAAAAGGCATAACCTTTGATTTTGGACAGATGACAAATTAATGACAGTATGAAAAAGAGGCTTGTAGCCTCTTAGCCCTGCATGTGGTGCACTTCACACCCATAAATAAGGACTTACACGGACATAATTTCCAAAGTTCTTGGCTCATTGTCACTCAGATTGGAAACTTGCTTCCGGGAGACACCAAAATCTACTGGATGAGAGACCGAAACTGACAAAAACCGAAATAACCCCCTAGATGCCTTCTGATAGGGGTGTAGTTTGATGGTGGTGGAAGTCGCTCCTCTACTCGCGTCCTAAGAGTTTGACACTCCTCTATGGACTATGTCACAGTTCGCTGCTAAGAAAAAGTTCCAAGTTGTGCCGCATCCTTTCTGATGTCGTATGCACCTATGATTATGTTTTTGGAGAATTCATCCTTTCGGATGCTCTCAAAAAAGACTGATATAAAACTTGTCAGCATAAAAATGCAATTTAAATGGGAGACAATGTTTTTTACCGTGTTAACACTTAATCGTTCTTCTCGACATCTGACGTCAACTCGATTGATTTGACGTAAAGCAAATAAAGCTTATGTCTTATGTTGGCAACACAATTTTTAATCTATTCTTCATTTGATTTCAACATGAGGAAAGTTGATGAAGTGTGCTAGTATCTCTCTTGACATCGTCTTCGATGCTCTTCTTAATGTTCACTTTTATCAAAATAAAAGAATGTATTTGATGCCGATGGATAAATATTTCTCTTGGGATGCACAATTTTCTTTTTTGGCATTGCATGACTTCTTGAGGGCATGAATATCTTCCCGGGATACGTAAATTTCTGCGAGGTATGAAATCTTCTCACGATGCATAACTTTCTGGGGGGCATGAAATCCTCTCGCGATGCATAGATTTCTGCAAAGTATGAAATCTTCTCACGATGCATAACTTTCTGCGAGGTATGAAATCTTCTCGTGATGAATAAATTTCAACGAGGTATGAAATCTTCTCATGATGCATAAATTTCTACGAGGTATGAAATCGTCTTGGGATGCATAAATTTCTGTGAGGTATGAAATCTTCTCGCTCTGCATAGGTTTTTGCAAGGCATGAAATCTTCTCGCGACAAATAGATTTTTGCAAGGTATGAAATCTTTTCGCTATGCATGGATATTATCTTGTGATGCATGATCTTCCGCGATGCATAGAAATTGACTCGCAATGCATGATCTTCCGCGGTGCATGGAAATTGACTTGTGATGCATGATCTTTCGCAATGCATAAATATTGACTCGCTATGCATGATCTTTCACGATGCATGAAAATTGACTCGCGATGCATGATGTTCCGTGATGCATGGATATTGACTCGCGATGCTTGATCTTAGCTCTTGATGTCATCCTTTGTACTAAATGAAGATAGTGTTTCGATCGAGCAACACAGTGGTCTTTTGGGTGCTTCCCAATATCATGATGCAAATGACGTCCTTTACGAAAACCTTCAACTCTTCCTTGGGATTTTTGCTTTGTTCACCTTCGAATCTAGCTGGACGTTCTTTATAATTTCATGTTGCTGGAAATTAATTGAAATAAACAATTCATATTCTCAAGTCTTCGACATAAGCGATATAAAATGATTCCTGCTTTCTAGGAAAAGTATTGATTTTGGGATAACTTTCTACTCCTTTGACTTCTCCATATTCATCCATCGGAAGAATTTGCTGATTTCAGAGCAAAGATATAACCTTGCGTCCACAGAATTGTTAGTTTTTTAAAAAATGAACTGATCTGTGTTGATTTCTTCAGTTGTTTCTTCCTTGTCCCGTTATCTCCGGTTGATTTAACGGACCTCAGCTCTTGATAGATAAGACAGAATATTTTATGTCAAAACAAATGAAACATAAAAGAGAAAATTTAAGAGAAATAAATTTTTGAGAAATAGTAGTATCTGAAAAAGGTCGTTGCCAAGTCATGTCATCTCAGCCTTAACAAACTTCTTTGAGTCTGATGCTTGGAGGTCTATTTGATTATTTGCTGGGGAGTTCTCAGAGTCAATCCCGACTTGTCGATAAGCCTATGCTGAAATTTTTAGGTCATCCTCAAAATTTCTGTCCCAGTTAACTTTCTTGCTTATCTTTCCACTTTAACTAAGTAGATTGCGGAATTTTGAGATCTTCTCAAAAATTTTGTCCAAGTTGCAAATCTCGAAGTATCTTTAGTATTGACTTGCTGAGGAAGAATCTTTTTCTCGAGAATTTTAGAATAGAAATCTTAAAGGAGGTGTGACCGAACCCTTGTGGCGCTTACGTATCCCATTGAGGTAGGAATCAGGTCAAACTTAGTTCCCCTCTAAAGTTTAACAAAAGAGAAATTTACAAAGAAACCAACCGAGGCCGACACAGGCGCCTACATATCTCATTCTTGAGAATTCAAGTCAAACGTAGTTCAAAAACAATGAAATAATTAAAGAGGATAGATGGGCTGACCGAGGCCGACATAGACCGCCTACGTATCTCATTCCTTAGAATTCAGGTCAGAAATAGTTCATTACAAAGGGATAAAAATTTAAGCAAAATAAATACAATCAAACATAATGATTACAAGTAAATAACAGAAATGCAAACCGAAGCTTCATAAGTAGTATCTCTTGACAGCGTCTGAGTTGATAGATTTAGGTCATGCAGTGCCATCCATCTCCAATAGGACTAAAGCACCTCCAGATAATACTT